AAGATGGCGATGATTCGATGATGAAACCGATGATTCGAGCCACGAGCCACGTCCAAAACTTCAATTTGAAGCAAGAGGAAGCTATTGGTTGCCTTGAATTGGACTACGAATCCCTGAATGCGAAAGCCCCAATTTTGCACATGAAGAACACTGACCTCGTTTTACAGTATTACGAGCTGGGGAAGCCATTTTCAGACCCCATTTGGGATCAATTTTGTGAGTCGTATGAGGAAGGAAGGGCCAAAGCTTTGAGGTCAAAGCTTTTTTATGGGGGAGAGACTGATATGATCCCAAATTGGCCTCAATCAAGATGGAATTGAATGATAAAAAAGGTAAGCAAAGAACATTAAAGAACACGGAATGTTGGCTAAGTTCTTTTATAGTTTTAGGTAGCCAACTTTGCACGTCTAGAACTTGTTATTGGCTTAATGAAAATTCGATTTTAAGGCCTTGTTTTGAAGATGAAGAGTTTATATTTTCATTGATGTGCTTTGGAGCTCGAGAGGAAGCCCAGAAGAGTGATTTCCAGGTTGATCAAGTTGCTAGCTCAACATGGGAAAAACTGCCGAAATATTCTAAGTGTTGGAACGAGTTCGGGAAGGAACTTTGGAAGCCTCAATCGAAGGGATGGCATGAGAGTCGAGCATCAAGAATTATACCTCCTAAAAGTAGGTTTCCTCTATTACAACGACATGGCATTGGATGACTGGAATGAAGAATGGAAGACCTCGAACGAAAGCTCCAAAGATCATATCGAAGCTGATGAATTCTATCTTTGGAAACCAGACGATCCGAATCCTTATCGAATTTGTGTTTAATTCATTTTCATTGTTGGTTTTGATTTCCTAACTGTAATTTATTTAGGACTTCTCTAAGAGTAGTAGTATTTGCTAGGTCTATTTAAGTAGCTTTGATTCGTTGATATTTTCAGATTTCATAGAGTTGAATAACAAACCGAGAGTTTGCGTTCAACCTAGCCGAATCTAGGTTTGATCTTGAGCTTGTATCATTCAAGTACTCACCTTGTTCGTGGCCAAGCATCGACGACACCAATCGAGCCTTTTTCCCATCGTGAAAGTTGCACGAAAGGTTCCATCCCAAACACGAGCACAAGACCCTGTTTTGTATTCTTTCTCGCCAAGTTTTGATTCTATCTTGAATTGAATCCTACCTGTGCTTCTCTGATCCAAAACCACCCTCCTAGGGGGTTATCATAAACTAGTAACCTAGAGTCCTAGATGGTTATTTATAGAGGTCTATGTTGATACTATGTCAGATTAAATGATAGCAATGTCTTTAATTAGTGTTGAACCCTCTCTATTGGTTGGAATCATGTTCTAACAATGATAATGTAATGCCCAATAGTCGAGTGTTCTGTTATCTCTTGGTCACTTTTATTTCTTTTGTGATGGTGGAGTCTCATTGCAATACTCATATCTTTTTATTGATGGAATCATGTTCCAAAAATGATATGGTAATGACCAAGGGGTCGACCGCTCTATTGGAGTAGAATGTTATTTTCCTTTTCAATGGTGGAATTTCGTTGCAACAAGGTTAGTGTGTGATCAGATTGATTGTTTGCTGGAAGGGTTCAACCGTTTTCTCTACATTACGCAAGTTACCGTAGCAAAGTTCTAGTCATGAAACACATGCAACGTTAATAAACAAACAATGAAACATTAACAATTTCAGCAAGTAACATTTGTAAATGAACATGTGACATTAACAATGAAATTATCATCATTGCCGTTGGCCGGATGAATTACATAAATGACATAAACGGTAATAGTAGTTGCATGAACCAGGCTACGTTTTTATTCAGTACCATGAAAGAATTCAAATTATTAAATTACTTATACTATAAATTAGGAACATACATTGTAAATTTTCTTATATCTTGATCATTCATGAACAAAAATCTTTAACAAAACTATAGAAAAAGCTCATGCAAAGGAACCAATTCCTAAAAAAAGGGTTAATACCTTATTCAGGCCCTAACCATATAATCAACTTTGGTCCGTGGTTTTAGAAATTAACATCTAAACTCAACTATAAACCAAATAGACTCAATTGACACGACTCGTGAATTTTCGTTGAATTAGACGGTCAACATCATTAACCGTTAGTGAATTGGCATGCTATGCTGACGTGGATGCCATGTGGAAAATAAAATTCAATAAAGATTTAATAATGTAATGTAATAAAATAAAAAATATTGAAGATCTAAAAACAAGTACACAACCCTTCTTCCCAGACAACCCATCCCTTTCCCAACCCCTCTTCTCTCAATTCTCCCTTTTCCCAAAACAACCCAGCTTCTTCCTCTCGCTGCTACCATCCAATCGGCGAGATCGCTCCACCTAGTTCCTCATGCTTCGCTCTAATTGCATAAGAATGTGAGAAAATGGTTTGAGATCTCGCCTGCATGCCCGGTGGTTATCTTGGCCTCCAAGCTTGAGATTCTCAGCCTCCAAGATTCGTTCGAGAGGGTCATTTGGGAGAGATTGGTTGTGGTAGCGGAGGACGGAGGTGGAGATCCGGACACGGTGGAAGATGGAAGGCACTCGGGGAGAAATGGAAAGAGGAGCGGATGAGCGGACAACGGCGATATAGAAATTGAAGTCGAAGACGGAGACTACAGCGGCGGAACACTAGTTGGCGATTTCAGCCAATCTAGCACATAAAAAAGTCTCGCAGATCCTATATAAAAAAAAGAGTCTCGCATAAGATAATTTCATAAGGAGGGAGGAGATTGTAATTTTTTGGAGGAAGAAATGTAAAACCCTAGTCCGACCGGACACTAAATTTACTAAAAAACCCTTTTTAAACCATGAAACAAATAAGAACTAAAATACTTGAGAAAATAGCGGAAACGTTTCATAAATAGCTTTAACAAATACGGAGAACAAACTGTAATTTCTTAAAACAAATCCCTAACACTTGGGCAAACCTCAATCATCAAATTTTAATCTGAATCTCCAGTCTATACTCATAATCATAAAATGAAATAACTAAAAAGTCTCTAATGTTTCCGCTTATTGAAAACCTTGACTAGGCATCCTCCATGTCGTCCGAACCGTCCTCCTTTAGCTGGCTTCCCTCGAACCGTTCTCTCGATCTCGCTGCTCTCTAACTGCTCCTCTAACTAGCTGCTATCGAGCTGGTTCTCGCTCATTTATTTACTAAGGCATGGTGAGTGAGATGGGGTCAGTCTACGCCCTTACGTTTAAAATCTCTAATACTTGAATACTTTACTCAAGACACTTAACTTGAACTAGTTATTTGTTGTTTGTACTTTTACTCTTAAAAAACTTAACACTTAAAGTTGTATGGGAACTACTGTTACCCTCCATTCTTAAAGCTCAAAATTCAAATTAAATTCTTGACTGACACGGGGATCCCTCACTAGCTAGTCAGGTTGCCCAACTCATACGTATGAGAAGCCGTCAATGCTTTTCGTAAACTTAAACTTAATTAGGGGAGTCGTAACTATTCATCCCCCTAACATCTGAAACTTATGGTGGTGGCTCTTCACCACGAGTCTCAGGAGCATAACTGCTGCTCATCTTAAAAGTTTCACGAGCATAAATGCTGCTCTATATCAAAATCTCAAATGGCAATGGACTGACGCTAGTTACTAAAAACTCTTAAAACGATTTCACCTTCTTGAAGGTGAAATACTTCTTAAAAAGAACTTGTTTCTTAAACTTTAACAATCACTCATAACGTTAAACTTTATGGTAATTAAATAACACATTCACTTCAAATCATAGCTCAAACAAAGCACGTATAATCAACCATAAACATAATCAAGCAACGGTAACCACTTCGCTAAAATACTTAAAACCGTAATACTTAAGATAATATGTAAGACATAGAATTTACCCCCTTTACACTCAACTCTTTCCTCGAATCAACGAACTAGATTTAATCTTCAGTGGTAATTGGCATTGCTCCGAGATGTGCGACTCGCCCTATGAACCCAAAATCCAAGGCGTAGTGCAACGTCCTTCAAAAACCTGCTGTGCTCGTTCGCCATGCACTATACCTATACCAAGTCCATCTTCTCATCAATTCTCTAGCATCATCAATTTTCCAGAATCAAGAGTGAGGGGTGGGGGGGACATGTAGTTCATTTGACATTGCATTTCACCCTAGTCATTAAGGCCATTATGCAAATGATTTCCTGATCTCGTTCTTACACTACAAAAAAGACCGTCTTTATCGACGACAGAATTTTCATTATAATTAATAAAATTTTGTCGGAAAACGCCTTTTTCGAAGACATATGGTCGTCAGAAATTGTCCCGTCGCTAATAAAACATTACCGACAAATCGTCAAAATTACGATATTATTGACGACATAAATTTGTTAGTAATAAAATAAATGACGTCACAAAAGAAATAACTCATGACGGATGAATTTGACGAATTTGTTTTTCGACAAAAAATTCATTTATTTTTTACGCTTTATGTTTGTAGGTAGACTAGAATTTCTGACTAGTCGTCATAAATACTAGTTATACTAACGTCCATAATTCGTCAAAAATAAATATTTTACGGATGTGTATGCGTCAAAAATATAAATTTTACCGATGCCGACAAATTTTCATTAAAACTATGTTTTTGCCAACGTGTCGTTGGAGAAATTATTATTTCCGAGGACAACTATTCATCGTAAAAAATCTTTTTCAAGTATCGTTGGATAAATTTTATTTCCGAGGACAACTATTCATCGTAAAAAAATCTTTTCCAACTTGTCGTTGGATAAATTTTTATTACTGAGGACATATTTTTATCGTAAAAAAAAACTTTTCCAACGTGTCGTTGGAAAAATTATATTTACTGAGGAAAGGTATTTATCGCCAAAAATAAACTTTTCCAACATGTCATCGAAGAAACTACATTTTCTAATGACGCTTAATTATTTTCAATAGTGCGATTACATCTAATAACGATGATACATTTGTAGCTAATTGCTTGACCAAATTTCATTTGTGACGCCATTACACTTCTAGTGATGACCACACAAAAAAATCATCCAAACGAAGTTAAGCATATATGATAATATTCCGAAATTGATTTAAAACTGTCTTACAAGTAGCCATCAGCTACGACCAAACATCCAAAAATCAAAAGGCAAACTATCCTCCGAAAATGACACAAAATATCTCTAATTCAAGCGATACTTAGAGTCCTATGATAGCATTAAAAAGAAGTTCATGCAGCAGCAGCAGTCTCGTCGGCAGTCTCCTCATCGGACTCGTCATCGGACGCATCGTTACCCTGAGTTTCGCCAACTCGACCATGTTCCCCATTCTCTTCACTATAGAGATCCTACAGAGAATGTAACAAATAAATTAGGCTAAATGTGCATATAACATAGCTTCGAAAATTATGTAATGAGTAAAAAATAAAACATGCCAGCAAAGTACTTATTACCATGTCGAATGACTCGGGCTTCTGCACTCCAAGCCTCTGCAACATATATTCAACGATGTGAGGGGCTGCATTCCTCACATCTATGATGTCATCCCCCAACTTCTTCATTTTCTCATCATTTTTTCCCTTTCTTTGGTTCGATCCTCCTAACAACGCTTGCTGCAACCCTGACTCCCTTGACTCGATGGGGGACCGAAGACATCAACCGAGCTCACCCCATGACCCATCCCTAGAACACGCTTGGGGCGTTGTGGTCCTATCACTTCTTGATAGATGGCAAATATGTTTGGTTCGTTTCCTTGGGATACCTTTTCAGCCTCTGCTTCTATCATTCCATCCTAATCATGGAGTACACAACATTAATATCGATAAAAAAGACAAAAAAAAAACTAGTACAAACAGCAGCCTAATACTCTGTAAACATTATTGAACTTACATGCAGGTTTTTTTCTTTTGAGCTAACCCAGTTCTTGTCCTTCTTCACATGGAAACATCTGAACATTTCGATCGGATCAGGTTCTTTTTCTAGCTTGTTTTATCTACCAATCAATTAAAAACAAAACATTGCATTAACACATGTAAACTGATTACAATTGAAGCCTAACATAAACATTAAAAAGCGCAGCAGCTTACCTCTTCATCTCTGTAGTTGGCCAAAGGTGCTGAAGCGCCAGTGGCTGCAAGCTCACTCTTCTCCCGATTCTCTTATTCTTATCACTTATTTCCTTCAATTTGAAACAAACCAACAATCAGCTCACCATTCAGAACAGATTTGGATGAAAGAACAGACACCAAAGCATACAAATTACCACCCAATTAGGGTCAGTCCATTTCCTAACCATTTCCCTCCAAATTGATGGACCTATCTGCAATGGTGGATGGTTCATTCTCTCATTCAGATCCTTATATTTTGTGAAAATCGGGTCTCGAAGACCATACATCCACTGGGGATAGTTTCTCTTCACGTGTTGTCTGACCATTTTGTTGAAAGTCTCTTCTGAACCAGTGTAAGTGAATCTTGAGTCCTTGAAACGAGCTATCACAGTCTGCAACTCTGATGCAGGATACTCTAAGAACGTAATCCAAGGCCAATTGATGCTCCTTTTGAATTTAGCTGAAATTTCATGGACTGCCTGAGTGGTAATTATCTTGCACAGTTTATAAAGAAGCATTAAACTAACAAAAGTCAGCTAATGAAAAGAACTCTGCAAATCCAAGGCCCATTATTACTGACATGTTGTTGTGAAATTCCAGGGAGAGGTTGTGCCCAGGTTTGACACCCTTTATTGGACCTCTTCCTTTTCTTTTTTTGGTCGTCCCTATCACAAGTTAACAACTTATAGTCAGCTAATGCAAAGACATTTGCAAATCAAACTAAGAAAAAAACACACAGATGGATGCTCACCATTCAAACTTCCACCCTCCGAAGACAGATCCGCAGCTGATTGTTGAGCAAACGAATCAACCTGCTCTGTTTCTCCTTCCAATCCAGTAGCAAGGGTTATTTGCTCCGTTCTCTGAGTTTCAGTAAGAGGAACATGCGGATTGGTGTTCCTGCCATCTTGTCCTTCTTCCTGAATCTCTGAAACAAGAGGCAGAGAGTTGCTCTGCACAGGGTCATGAGGTGTAGATTCTTCCCTCTGGTTCTGAGAATGGAGGCATTTCTTTTGCTTTGCCATATAGTGAGAAGCATATTTCGTTAGTGGGAGGAGAAGAATGGCAGAGAAGAAACAATGGCAGAGAACGAAGAAAGATCTTTTGGGTTCCTTTGCCTTTGCCTCTACTGAAGCGTGTTTATTGATAGTAGAGATTAATAATGAGCCGTGTTGTATGTAGTTATTGTGGTGTGGCAAACGGGGGAAAAAATCCTGCCTTATTTATAGGCTAACGAAGAGGCTTCCGGATATATACAAGGAAGGTTTTTGGTTCTTTAACTTTTTTGAGAAAATCTCGTTGCCCTAAAAAAGGCCAAAGATCCCTCTTTGCCGTTTTAATCCTTTAAAGTTAATTAGTTTTTTGCAATTAAGGATGCACCAGGGAGGCCAAAGTTAAAGCTTCGCAACTAAACAAACTATATTAAATTAGAGAGAAGAATTGACAAAGCAGGGGGGAATGAACATAGTGGGTACATGAATGAACCATTCACCAAAACACAAAAAAAAAAAAAAACCAATGATGCATCTTAGGCTAAAAAATGTCCACAAAAATTGCACCATAACACAACATTCGACATTTAGGCACCAATTCAAAGTAAAAGATATTGAGCTAACCCAGAACAGGCCCAATTTGTGCATGGATGTGCAAAGAACCAGATGATGATTACCTGGAATTTCGATTCAATCCCAATCTCAGAGAGTTCTAAGATGCTTTGTGGGTGCATGCATGTTTGATTTAGACCTGCAATTGAATAAATCAGACCACATCATTTAAAGGCTATGCATATAAATTGAAATCCTTCTACACATCCAATCGAAAGAAAAGCAAACGAAACTATATTCCGTCAACTAAGAAAGGCAAAGGAACCCAGATTCCGGCGACTGAAGATCACCTCTCTGCCCTCATTCATCTCTCTTGATACGCAATCCGCTCCGAAACCCGGACCCACCAGAGGATTGGGCTCCTGCCGCGTCGCCTCGTCCACGCTGCTCAGAGAATCGCCTGATCGGAGCAATCGAAGGCGGGTGTGACGTCTCCTTCGCGCACCCCAGTTCTCCAACCGCAGCAGCAATTGGAAATACCGTCGTCGTCTCCTCCACGCCCCCCAATCTTCCATCATCGACAGACTTGAAATCGCCTCAATCTTTTGGGTAAGTCATAAGTGAGCAAAAATGAAATCGGGTAGGAAAGGGTTTAAACAAAATGCATGCGAGGAGCCGAGAAGGAAGATGGAGTGTTATGTTCTCCTTTTTGGTGAGAATAAATTAAATCAATTGATGAGCTGAATTAAAAAATAAATATAAAAAGGGTCTTATTGAGAAGAAGGGCATAAGATGTAGGCTTTTTAATTTAATTGTTTTTTACATAAGCTGTATTTTCAATTTAGTTGTCTAAATAGCAAAACTCAATGGGGCGTACGGTAGGCTTGCGTACGCCCGGACGTACGCTAGCCTATATATATATATAGTAACTACTTCGGTGCACTCACAAAAATGAGTGCGTTTAATGCACCCAACTCAAAAACTAGTCTTAAGGTGTCAGATTTTGAATTTTAATTTGTAGAATTAGTGTAATATGATTATATAACATATGATAACAACTAATTAGCAGATTACCCTAAGCCCTAGACCTCCAATTTTGAGTTCTATCCCTAAACCCCAAATTGTAAACCCTAACCCTAAATCTCTAAACTCTAAATTCTTCAAATTAAAGTAAATCTTCAATGGTTTTTGTGCAAATTCATGTGCGTTATTGTTCATCACATCATAAGTGATGATTAACATCATTTTGACATAAATCGCATATTTAAAATGACGGTTATGAAGTGAGTGCATTGAGTGCACCCAAAAAAGTGAGTGCACCGAATACGCCACCATATATATATATTGTTAATTTTATCTTTTATTTAATTGCAATGCGATAATTGAAAATATATTGTACATTTTTTTTGTAGGTTATGGAAGGTGTTGATAAATCATGGATGCAGCTTCGTAATAGATCAACTATGGAGTATACGAATGGCGTTCAAAATTTTATCGCATTCGCATTCAACAATGTTCAAGACGAAGACAACAAAATATAGTGTCCTTGCGTGGATCTGTCGTAATGTTATAAGAAGGGAGAAACGAGAAGTTGAGCTACATCTACTACGACGAGGAATGTCTCTTGATTACACTAAATGGATTTACCATGGTGAGAAAGATGATGATGATTATTCTGAAGAGGAGGATGCAGAGGATGCGGTAGATGATGATAACAAGATGGATGTAGATGACATGTCGGGGTTACTGAATGATTTGAGATCGTATTTGGATCCTGACCCCGAGAATCCCAATGTAGAGGCAGAGAAGTTTTTCAAATTGGTCAAAGAATCTCAGACGCCATTATACGAAGGTTGTGATGAAAATCTATCCAACATGCAATGCCTAGTGAAGATGATGCATTTGAACTGGTTTAATTCTTGGAGTAATACCTCTTTTACGCAATTGTTGAAGTTTCTTCGATCTACTTTCCCTATGGCACAGTCTACAATGCCGAAGAATTACTATCAAGCAAAAAAGATGTTGAGTGGCCTTGGGCTCAACTATGAAGACATAGATGCTTGTGAAAATGACTGTGTCATTTACTACGGGGAGCTCAAAGGAGCAACGACATGCCCTTCCTGCCAGAAACCACGGCACAAGAAAATCAGGAAGGATAGTAGGGGAAGAGTGACAACGGTTCCCTACAAGATACTAAGATATTTTTCCATAAAGCCAAGATTACAACGCTTATTCATGTCGCGAAAGACTGCGGAAGATATTGTGTGGCATGCCGAACAACGTGTCAGAGATGCCAAATTAAGGCATCCTGCTGACAGTGAAGCTTGGAGAGTTTTGGACGAGTATGATGCATCTTTTGGTTCTGACCCACGCAACGTCCGATTGGGACTAGCAACGGATGGCTTCAATCCATTTGGCAACATGAATAACAAGCATAGTACATGGCCTGTAATTTTGTTCTCGTATAATCTCCCACCGTGGTTATGCATGAAGAGTCCATATCTCTTATTGACATTACTCATTCCTGGTCCGAAAAGTCCAGGAAGCAATATTGATGTCTATCTGCGACCACTCATTGATGATCCGAAGTCATTGTGGAGTGAAGGAATGATGACTTATGATGCATTCAAGCAAGTGAATTTCAACATGAAAGCTACAGTGTCGTGGACTATCAACGATTTTCCGGCATATGGTCTCCTTTCTGGTTGGAGTACAAAAGACAAATTGGCATGCCCTTCCTGCGCAAGCAATACCTCATATTTGAGGTTGAATAAAGGATGCAAGGAATGTTACATGGATCATCGCCGTTTTTTGCCATTGGATCATAAATGGCACAAGCAAAAGAAGGAATTTAACGTCACTGTAGAAAAAAGACGTGCACCAGAGCGATTATCATCCGAAGAGGTAAAAAATCAACTTCTCTCATTACAAACTATACCTTTCGGCATTAAGGGAAAAGGCAAGAAAATCAAAGGGTTTGGCAAAACTCATAACTGGAAAAAGAAGTCTATTTTCTTTGAATTGCCATATTGGTTATCTCTCTTAGTACGCCACAATTTGGATGTCATGCATATAGATAAAAATGTATGTGATAGTATTCTTGGTACTATTATGAATATTGAGGGCAAAACAAAGGATGGTCTAAGTGCCCGTCGTGATTTTGAGGAGATGGGTATAACGAAAGATCTTCATCGTGTTGAGAGGAATGGGAAAACAGAGTTACCTAGAGCTGCATATAGCTTGACGGCGGTAGAGAAGAAATCCTTGTGTCAGTGGCTATCAAAAGTGAAGGTACCAGATGCTTACTCCGCAAGTTTGACACGTTGTGTCAATGTTGATGATCGAAAGATACATGGGATGAAAACTCATGATTTTCATGTGTTCTTGGAGAGGTTATTACCGTTAGCCGTCCGTGACTTATTTCCGAAGGTCATATCGAACACATTGATTCAGCCTAGCAAATTTTTCAAGGACATATATTCCAAGGAGCTAAACGTGAAAGCTTTAAATTACTTGGAGTCTCAAATTGCAATAATCCTATGTAAGTTGGCTTCTCGAAACAGCTTCCTGCCTTAGCCAAATCTGGGCAGTTTCCAGGATTCTTCATAGCCACTTGTGAGACTTGGGAAACACCCTTCCTAGCATCCCCTCGCGCTCCATAACATATCAATAGAAAGATAAAGACTTGAACTTCATATTGAGTCCTTAAACTTACATTTTCATCAAATGGTTTGAGAGATATGAGCTCACAAAGTAGGTACCTTGGACTGGGTTCTATACTTAGCCATTTTCCTCCCTTCTTCTTCCCAACTTCACTTCCTTCTTCCTCAAGCAATTCTATCTCCAAGATTGATCCAATTGGGATCATATCAGGCCCCCCTGTTGAAAAAGCTTTTTCCTCAAAGCTTGAGCTGCCCTTTGATCATAATCGGCACAGAACTGGCTCCAAATGGGATCGAAAGTGAGTTGCTCGAAACCCTTGTTTTGGAAAAGTAGGGCGTTGTTCTTCAGGCCCGAAATTGGGGTTTTCTTCTCCAGGCATCTCCAGGCCAATTCATGGTCACCACGAGATTCGTCAGCCCTTGAATTGAACTTCTAGTTAGGTCCCGTGCTTCGAATCATCATGTATAGTGACGACGATCTCATTCTTGCTTTCCCGCCATCGCCATGATTTAAATTTTCCGAGCCCAGAAATTCCAATAAAAAATTGGGGCTTTTTGATTTGGGCTTCGTCGGGCGATTTGGTTGACTTCTACAGCTTCCTTGGACCTTCGTCAAAGATTTGGTATCGTCGATATGGTCCGAATCGTTCCCAATCG